TATACTTGTATATTCGTCTGTAAATTTGAGTCTAAAAAAATGTTGAGTCTAAGTTTGGTAAACTATTCAAGGAGAGTGCAGTCCTTTTTTAAAAAAAAAATATTTTTATCAATTTCAGAGAGGAAGGGAGAGAGAGAGAGAAACATCAATGGTGAGAGAGAGTCATTGGTTGGCTGCCTCCTACATGCTCCACACTGAAATCGAGCCCACAACCCTGGCATGAGCCATTGACCAGAATCAAACCCGTGGGTCTGCAGGCTGATGCTCTATCTACTGAGTCAAACTGGCTAGGGAAGTGGTCGGCAAACTCATTAGTTAACAGAGCAGCAAACCGCGGCTCAGCTAGCGAGCTGCATGTGGCTCCCCAGCCACTCCTTTTTGGAAGGTCACCAGCTGTAACAAGGGAACTAGGAGCCTTCAGCAACGGGCCTAAGATCAGAGTGGAGCAAACTATTCCACTTCCAAGACATATCAGTGAAGGTCAACGAGCAAGAATAGGACCTGGCTTTTTTTTTTTTTTTTTTTTTTTAAATCCTCATCCAAGGACATTCTTTTATTGATTTCAGAGAAAGAGGAAGGGAGAAGGAGAGAGAAACATCCGTGTGAGAGAGGGCCTGGCTCTTTGTCACTCCTGAGAGATGTTTAAGGGCTGGTCTACAAAGGCAGCTGTGGCCCTATGCATTGCACTGAGAGCTGTGGGTGTTCTGTCTAGATTGTTGGCCAAGTTTATGCTGCTTGGCTGCCTAGCAGTGAAGACAGGGGAAGATATCTTCTCTCACATTCAATTCCTAGAATAGAATCAGGTGATAAATATACAAGGAACAAGTCCAATTATATAATGGGCAGGAAAGGATGCCTGCCCGTATTTAAACGGGAGAACGTTACCCGTTATGGACATTTCATGGACGGTTGATGGTGGGTGGCGTGCCCGAGTGGGATATAGTAAGTGCTTTGCCAAAGGAACATTTCTAGAAGGACCATTCTCAAAGGAGAATGGCTGGTGCACATATATTCCACTAAGACTTCATAGGAAATGGAAGTTGTGGTGGTGCTTCAATAAGACCTAAGATTCTCTAACATATGTTTTCCACTTTTAGAATATCAAAACATTTTTTTTTTTGCTTTGACCTGTTTGGTTCAGTGGATAGAGCATCAGCCTGTGGACTGAAGGGTCCCAGGTTTAATTCCAGTCAAAAAGTATGCACCATGGTTGCGGGCAAATCCCCAGTAGGGAGTATGCAGGGGGCAGCTCATCGATGTTTCTCCCACTGATGTTTCTAACTATCCCTCTCCCTTCTTCTCTGTAAAAAAATCAATAAAATATATTTTTAAAAAATCACTCCCCCCCCCCCCCCCATTTGTTATGTTTAATTGCAAAGCTAAGACTAAAACTAAGGGGCAGGGGTTGGAAAAATATTGTGTAAACAGGCACACCTTGTTTTATTAAGCTTTGCTTTACTGTGCCTCGCAGGTATTGCGCTTATTTTCTTTGTTTATCTTTAATGGGTTAACACTGGTTAATAACATTACGTAAGTTTCAGGTGTACAACATTATAATCTGATATCTACATATACTATAGCCTGCTCACCGCCCAAAGTCTAGGTTCTATCCATCTGACCCCGCTACCTATATCGGCCTTTCTCCACTCTTCTTACTATCTGGTAACCTCCAATCTGTTGTCTGTATCTATGGATTTGTTTCCATTTTCTTTTCTTTCTTTTTTTGTGGCTCATTGGTTGAACGTCAACCTATGAAACAGGAGGTCACGGTAAATGCCTGGCTGCAATCCCCAGTAGGGTTTGTGCAGGAGGCAGCTGATCAGTGACCCTCCCTCTCCCTTCCTCTCTGAAATCAATAAAAATATATATTTAACAAAGAACCTAATATAACTCACTATTGATCCACCAGATATTCTGAGTTAATTTTTTTTTTAACCATCCAAGCTTTATAGGAGAAAAACATAATTATCTTGCATGTATAAAACTTGCATGTATGAAAATGAAGTTTTGCAGGTCTGATTTCATCTGTCCGGCTCTTTTCTTGAAACATTGTTCTTTCTACTTGAGATGTTATTAATATTCGCTGGAATCCTAGGAAGGATAAAAAAATTTGCATTTCTTGTATTTGTTTCCGTTGGCAAATTTGTTTCTAGAAAGGACATTTTAACCTACTTCCCAACTGTGTTTAGTGACCTCCTGTGGTCAAAAGGAAGAGACTCACCCAAAATAGACTCAAAATAAAAGGAGCCTCACGTCCAGGGAATGGCCATCCTGCCTCCTGGAGCTTTGGTTTCCGAGTGTCTGTAGCCTCTCTTTCTCTCATGGCTCCTCAGCCTCAGCCTTCATCACCAAGTGGCAATCCTATTTTTACTTGCTTGTCACTGAGATAGAATATATGCCTCCTGTTTGTTTAAAAAATCATTTACTGATTTTTAGAGAGGAAGGGAGGGAGAGAAACATCGATGTGATAGTGCAACACCAACCGCCCTCCTCCCCCACCACCAGGGGATCGAGCCTGCAACCCGGGCAAGAGCCCTTGACTGGGAACGGAACCAGCAACCTCCAGGTCAGGCGTCCTCAAACTTTTTAAAGTGGGGGCCAGATCACGGTCCCTCAGAGAGCTGGAGGGCCGGACTATATGAACTACTAATTCCTACTGTAACACCTGGGCTGCGCTCACTGCCCAAAAAACCTGGCGGGCCGGATCAGACTCCTCTGCGGGCTGCATGTGGCCCGCGGGCCGTAGTTTGAAGACGCCTGCTCCAGGTGCAGGGGATGAAGCCCAACCAACAGAGCCCCACCGGTCAGGGCTACATGCTACCTGTTATTGCTGGTGTGGTTACACTGGAAGAAATGAGGGATCAGGAGGATGAAGTGATTTGCCCAACAGTACACAGCATTATAGTTTTCTCGTGTAACACAGGAGAGCAACTGTGTTTATTGGGCTTATCAGATATACCCTCCCCCATAAAATAGGTTTTTAAACTATCTGATGCATGCTGTAATATGAATGTTGAAAACATTATGCAAAGTGGTAGAGGCCAGACACAAAAAAGACAAATATTGTATGATTCCAGAATAGGAATGAATATACAGTGTCCAGAATAGGTAAATTCGTAGAGACAGAAAGCAGAATAGAGGCTATCAGGGTCTTAGGGGAAGAAGGATACAGTTACTGATTAATGGGTACAGTTTGTTTGGAAGGATGAAAAAGTTCTGGAAATGGGTAGTGGTGATGATTGGACAACACTGTGTATATTCAATGCTACTGAATTGTACACTCAAAGCTTATTCAGATTTCACCAGTTTTACATGCTCTGTGGTTGTAATGTTGTTGTATTGTATGCTAGTTATACAAGCTGTTATCAGTCGGGCAGGCTGGATGAAGGGTGACAGAACATCCATGTTCATGTCTTTGTAACTTTCTGTGAATCTGTAATTATGTCAAAATTAAAAGTTAACATGGACAGATAATACCAAGAACAAATAAGTAGAAGGCAGTCAGATTCCAAACTAACTTGCGGGCAAATTTAATACCATGTCCTGGTTTGCTAGGGCCACTCATTCTCCTTGAGGAGAATTCTCTGTTCCTCCGGAGTGGCTCTCACATGGCTCATGGTCAGAGAGAGGATGACGCACAGGCTGCCAACCTTCCATTTTTGGACAGCTTATGCAATCTATCATCACATTCTTTCTAAGAGGGGACATGAAAGACGTAGGAAACACTCAGCTCTGTCCTTACCAAGACCCTGTTCAATCAGGAGTCACTGATTCTAAAATAACAGGGAGCTCAAGTTTTTACCTTGATTCTCTCTTGGTTAAACCAAATGAAACAAAATAAAATTTATCAGTTACAGGTGGCTTTCAGGAAATCCTCAAGTAAAGATGCATCATTCAATGTTTGTTATCCCTGAGAGTATGAAAACAAAATGACTTCAAATGGATGTTTGTTTATTCAGTTAAATGCAGTTCCTTATGCTTTGGTTTCTGTAATTAGCCAATGAACAGTTCTGCAGCTTAGCAAACTAGAGAAGGCACTGAATGTGTAAACAAATCAGAGAAGTCCAATTTCTTCCCCTGTGTATGAGCTAGAGACCTCAACGCTGGGACCAGAGCAAGAGCATTAGGGCAAAGTACAAAGCTGTTTCTAGTTTTCCCAGGAGTGGGAGAAGTAGTTAAATGTTTGGACTTGAATGGGATATCCTACTAGATTGCATGCTATAGAAAAGGAAGAATTTGCTGAAGCTGGTTTGGCTCAGTGGATAGAGCATCAGCCTGTGGACTAGAAGGTCCCAGGTTTGATTCCGGTCAAGGGCATGTACCTTGGTTGCGGGCACATCCTCGGTAGGGGGTGTGCAGGAGGCAGCTGGTTGATATTTCTCTCTCATCGATGTTTCTAGCTCTCTATCCTTCTCCCTTCCTCTCTGAAAAAAAAATTAAAAAAATAAAATTAAAAAATATATATGGAAGAATTTGCAGGAGTATGGCATATTAGAGGGCTAATAATTGAACAGAGAAAGTCAATCTAATAAACTTGAAAGCAGATTTTGCCTGGGTCAACCACATGAAGTTACACACACACTCACACACACAATTATACATGTATACACGAGGAGAGAATCTGGTGTTCCACTCGGGTGGTGCACCTGCCGATTCCTTCAGAATGGTTTTTCTTGGTTACCACTCAGACTGTGGTCTCACCTTTGATAAGGGAACCAAGCCCTTAGATGGGTGGATGAGTCTATGTGTGTGCCCCACTGGGTTACAGACTCTCCTTGGATATTTTTTGACTGGATAGTTATGGCACCCAGGCTTCCCCTGAAGGCACCATATGGCTTAGCAGACCAGGCTTCTTTGCACACAAATCCCCAGACCTGGGTCTAAGTACCGGCCATTGGCTTGTTCCTTCTTCCTTGATCACTTCTTTCCCAACAACCCACAAAGTCACAACTGCCAACAATCCCTTGAGACCAGTGGAGAGAGGAAGCCACACTTGCAAAGAAGATTGCTTTGTACTTTATTTACAATAGAAGGTAAGAAAAAGTAAGTTATTAACAATAATAAATAACTGGGGGGAAAACACAAAACAGCCATAAAATGACACAGAAGGATGGCATATGTGAGGGTCACCTTTTGCTTGCTTTGCCTGTAGACTGTAACACTGTGCACTCCAAACTTTGGTCCTTCAGCAGTGGCAGTGGCATGTCGACCCATTTCACAAATCAAGATCCCAGCTTGAAATGTAAACACTAAAAAAATGACGCTTGAAGCGACACAGAAGTGGCGTAGGCATCACATCAACTCAAAGAACCTCTTCTTGGGGATACATAGGAACTGAAGGGGGACTTGCAATTCCATAGACATGCTTTCCCTTGTAGGCCACAAGGTCCTAAGGCATTTAACTTAACAACAAAATTACCATGGAACACATCTGAAAAGTTCTCCCCAGATTCACACCCTCTTATTGCACTAACTCCTAAAAAGCTTAAACATTTACATTTCAAATGCAAACAGATCATTTGGAAGGCAGAGCACACAAGAACCCGGTGTTGCCTCCGCGTGCCAAGGCTGTGCGATTGCGTGACATTTCAGTTTCAGCAAGAACGAGTTGTTTGACCAGTTACAGCCACACAACGTTTTATATTTATTTTAAATTTCAAGAATTAGGGCTCAGATGGCAGATTGCCACCTGGCCTACTGAGCCAGATGATCAGAAAGGGACTGAAACTATTTAGACAATTCCTGTCTATTGGATTATCTGATTACACATTATATCTGGATTATACTCTGGCCCTTCTGAAAAGTAAAATTCCTACTGACCGAAACCAGACAGTGACCTGGCTGTCTCTGAGCCCTGAAGCTACCAAGGAAAGTAGAATTTAAAAATGTACATAAATCCATTAGCCTTGAAATTTTCACAGGAAAATGATTTCTGCAGAAGTGTTAGGATCTATTCTCTAGGCCAGTATTACAGTGCCTTGAAAGAAAACGCTGTAATTACTTGTGGGGTCTTGGGTTTTTGTGCCTGCATTGTACAACCACGACTGCGCTTAGAGATTTATCCTCACAACCCAAAACATGGCTAATGCAAACCTCCAAATACATTAAAAGCATTCCTCCCACACAGATGCAAAACCGTAACAGAAGGATTTATAAATTAGTTCACTAGTGAATGCATATTGTGCCCGTTATAATGATGGTAAGTGAAAAATTTCATGGCCTTCTTGCTTTGTTTTGTTATAGCCCAAAAGTAGATACATGAAATGGTCTTCAGAGCTAACTTCTGACAAAGTTCACACGGGAAAAACACCAAGACCCTCTGATCCTGGGAAAGCAGTCAAAGCTACAAGTGCTATACCACACACAGCCCATGCGTGGAAAGCACAGGGGCATCTGGCATTTGAAATGCACCAGAAGTAATGAAATGTACAGCCATTGTCATGGTTTCCACCAACATCGGAGATGAAGACGGTGTGCTGCGCATGTGCTATTCTGTGGATTAATCTGGCTATCAGAGACTTCAAACTGGTGGTGTTTGCTTCACTAGACTATATTTCTATATATGTACATACAGGTATAATACAATTTTGGTGAACAAGGTTGAAGGTTTCCACACTGCAGACAGAGGCACTGAGTTAAAGATTCTATTCCCTTACCCCCCAAACATGCTGAAAGAATTCAAGTTTCTGCTTTTTTCCTTCTTCTAAGTTTCCATCATGCAGCCATTGCATTTCCATCCTTATAGGAATCATTAAGGTTCTATGTACACATTCACTGCAGGCTTGTATCCCACAACAAACAAAGGCATGTATGGAGAATGTAAAATGACACCCGGAAATCAAGGCAGATAAAATGGTGAAGTCACGTATGCTCATGATGATGGGATTAGATATTCAAAGCAGCTGAAGGAATATACTCATCCCCCCTCCCCTTTTCTTAAATGCACACAAAGCACATGTAGGCAGGAAGCTGAATGTATTTTAAGTGTGCACACTTTTGATGGCTAAAACTCACACTATCTTTAGCAGATTGTAGTTGATGTCCATGGTATTGTACTGGCTATGAGAAAGAAAACTCACAGAAGGAAATGAGAAATTAGCTTTCTAAAGCGGATAGGATTGTTGACCTTGCTAGCGGAAGCTACTTTACAGACAGCAATGGTATGAATGGGAAAACTAGGCGTCAGATGTGTTAACAACCTGCGCAAAATAGATCAGTTCCATTAGAAAATGACCCCATCCCCTCTTGTTACAAAGCTGATTTCAGCTCGTAAATAAATGGTAAGCACACACACATGGTCACTGCCTTGTGAAAATAGATTTTTGCTTTCTGAAGCCAAACATAATCCTTAAGTACTACGTGTGGAGAGGGAGCCGTCGAGAAGTCCAAGGGATTTGGTAAAAGATTAAGTTTTCCCACAAGCAAGAAATCATGCTACCATACCATGCAGAGATGTCTTACTACAACGCTATGTCGCTCTTAGGGAAGAGATGCATGTTGACCTAAGCTATTTGTAACTGGTTCCCATTTTGAGTTCTGAATTTAAAATATTTTTTTTCAAGCTAAATATCAACCTGTAGATAAAGATATGATCTTGACAGTCTGACGTATGACTTACGCTTACTTGGTGGCGGGCTCAGGGGCCAGCGCCTGCACCTGGGCGTGTGCCAACTTGAAAGACACAATGCAGAGTGCTGAGCACTTAGAGAGAGAGAGCAGGCAGGGGCCACTGGCTGAGGCCAGGAGAGAGGAGGCGGTGCTCCTTGGTCTGTGTGTTTCCTTTGGAATCTGTGTGGGAAGGTCCCTTTCCTGAGGTTGGAGGTTACGGTGAGGAAGGCTGGCCAGGGGGCGTGGAGTTGCCCAATTACTTTGCTCTCTTCCTCTCATGGAGGACAAAAGTGACTATAGATGCTGCTTGCCCTTCCTTCTGCATTTAAAGGCAGTGAGGTGCGAAGGTGGCAGGTTTTCCCTCTTAAGATCAAAGGAGAGTTCTCTTTCTGCCACTTTGGTGAATGAGCTTGCCTCCCGTCAACCTTGAATCTACTCTTGCATTAGCAACACTTTCAGAAAAGAAAGCTAGACGGTAGGACATGTATCTCTCCTCCTTTTTGCTTGACAAATAGGAGTCAACAATTCTGCTCATTCTCTCCTCCCATTTGACGGTACTTACTCAACTTCTGGGACATCCCAATATTTGGATTTCAAGGAAGGAGCAAGAGAATGACAGTCTTTTCTAAGGTCCTGTGATGGGCCATCGGGTCCAGGAAGTCTGAATGTTATCAAAAGTAAAACCAGAGGGAGATGAAAAACAATTCTCCTTTTTAGGGTTTCCCAAACCAGATATTTCAACAGAATTAAAGTCCAGTTAGCTTATTCTACCCTTGAACTTTTTGAGTGGGGAAGTAGTCAATAAATTCTACTCAATTAATTGCAAATTCTGAGAATCTTCCTGGATGATAGAAGCTGACAAGTTAAGGTTTATTGGTACCTGGAGAGAAAAAAAGATGTCTGCCTCACCTGGGCCTCTTGGCTCCTAACTCAACCCTTCCAAAATCTGTCAAGCTAAGGTCACATTCACACACGTAATTCTTAAGATTTCTGAGGGCACATAGGGGAAAAGTTATTAAAAGACAGAAGCAAGTGGAATCTTTATTAAATTCTGTGAAAGGTATAAATAAGTCATCATTAATTGCACATGGAGCCTCTGTGGGTTGATAATTAAAATTTTCAGAAAATTGTAAGTGTTAACTAGGCCCCAAATCCTGAGTCAGACTAACCAAAATAGGAATTTTAGTAACTACTGGTATTCAAGTATTGGTGATGAGCAGTTCAAAATTTAACCATTAGGTATGTTACGCCTGAGTATTTTTGAGAATTTCAGGTTTGATCGGAGAAAAATGACTTCACTATTTTATCACACCTTGTACCACAGTGGTGCAGAGTTCCCATTTATTTACCCTTGAAGTCCATACCAACTGCGTCAAATGCCCGATAACAAGGCTTCCTCCCAGGCTTCCAGCTGTGGCTACAGAAGACGCCTTCTGTCCTTTGCATGTCTTACATGTTGCATCTAATGTGATGCTGTGTGGCATATTGAGGGACTCATATTATATGTGAAATTACTTAACCACATGCACACTCAGATAGAAGGAACATGTTTTGAGTGACAAAGCAGTCTTTTTCTCTATTAGAAGATTCTTAAAAAATAAAACAGAACAAAAAAAGCCAACCCTGAAAATGAACCTATAAAACCCCATGAAATAGTCACAGGAAGTTATTCTGACTTGGGCCGGCCTGGCCTCTCTGAGGGCACGCCAGGCAAATTCAGGGTGGTTTGTTTCTCGGGGTCTGGAAGCGTGAGAGTTTCTGGGGCGGACTTTTTCCGGGGCCGGTCTTTGGGCACGGACAGAAACTCGGGTGCATCTGAGGACAGAGGTGTGGACGGCGCGCTGGAGGGGGCACTGCGGACTGAAGAAGGCAGCAGGGGAATGCTCGAGATAGAAATCACAGGTGGGAAAACGCCAATTTTCTGGTTGGTGGCTTCCTGAGTGGCTCGTTCAAATTCTCGGACTTCATCCATTGTCATGTCTTCAGAGCAAAGAAAAAGATAGAAAGGAAAAGGAGCAGTTATTTAGAAGACGTGCACGTGGATTCATCTCTACGCCTGTTTTTAAAGGACCTGTGGGACCCTATGAAAAAGGGGCCTCTTCAAATTATAAACCCAAATTATCACTCACATGTTATATCCTGAATTTTTCCTTTTTATGGAGGCAAACCTCTGAAATAATATTCCTTTATGAATACCCATCTCCAAGACTTCCCAAGCACTCCTCAGTGAGTGTTTTATGTATTCTGAATTAGAAGACATCAGGAGTGCCCTGCTGGTGTCGCTCAGTGGTTGAGCGTCCACCTATGAAATAGGAAGTCATGGTTTGATTCCTGATCAGGGCACATATCTGGGTTGTGGGCTCCATCCCCAGTAGGGGGCATGCAGGAGGCAGATGATCAATGATTCTCTCTCTTCATGGATGTTTCTATTCTCTCTCCCTCTCCCTTCCTCTCTGAAATCAATACATCAGGAGTACAAATTCAGACCAGAGCAGTGAATATGTGTGTTGTGGGTATGACTCTTATCAGACCTGGCCATATTTTCTATAAAGAGAAGGTAACTAAATCAATCAATGGCCCCCAAATGATGCCATACAGTGTGTGGCAAAGGTAGGTTTACAGTTGTGAGTATATGAAACAACAGAGTTTATTCTTGTATTATTATTTATTCATTTTTGTATTGTTTTCTGTATGAACAACTATAAACCTACGTTTGCCCCATCCTGATATATGTGTCACATCATAACATATGAACAAATCAGAAATATTTTTCAAAAAACAAAATCCTTAAGCAGATTTCCTGGAAACAATTACTAAATTTTCTGAAAGGGAATGCTTTGTTTTCAAAGGAAATAAAAAATTATGGTTGTGTTGATATAATATAAAACTCAGAAGAGTACAAAAAAATCATACCCATGAACCCTCCACTTTAAAAAAACAGCACTAACACTATTAAGCTAAGAAAAGAGATTATGTCTTTTTAAAGAGAGGTCCTGCAAAATAAAATTGAGGATCTCAGGAAAATGTCACTGAATCGGGGTCTGTTTCTGCTCTAATGACGGATATCATCTCGGAGAAATCGGGCTTTCTGAAAATGCAGCTGAACACAGTGTCCTACTCCATGCAACCAGCAGAGAGCAGAAATCACCCAGAGGAGACAGAGTTTTTATTTTACAGTCCCTTCCGGAGTCTCTTAGAAGTTCCCTTCCTTGAAGGCACTGAAACTGCTCAATTGAAAAGGAGACAATTTCTTTATTGCCCTGGTCATGGATGTTAATTTTGCATAATTTCAATCTAATTTGTTTCTTCTCGGGTTGATGATTTAAGTTTTATTGGGCACTCTTGTAGTTTTTATTTGTGGACAGCAGACTCTCGATTTCAACTGTTTTTCATTATGATGGAGAAGAGAGACAATGGAAAAATAATCTCCAATTTGAAGGAATGCCACAGAATACGGGAAATGTCGCCAGCACTCAAAATAACCACTCTGGCCGGGACCGGTTTGGCTCAGTGGTAGAACGTTGGCCTGCAGACTGAAGGGTCCCAGGTTCGATTCAGGTCAAGGGCATGTGCCTTGGTTGCGGGCACATCCCCAGTGGGGGGTGTGCAAGAGGCAGCTGGTTGATGTTTCTCTCTCTTGACGTTTCTGACTCTCTCTCCCTCTCAATTCCTCTCTGGGTAAAATCAATAAAATATATTTAAAAAAAAATAACCACTCTGTAACTTTGGAAGAGATACTGGTAGACTTATCTCTTGCTGACGTCATGGGAATGCCTGTGAGTTGCTGCAAGAGAATCAACGCATGGGCTTCGCCTGGGGAGAACCGTTCTAGGCACCACCGCCTCTACGTGGTAAACTGACCTAACACAATATTCGCAGTAAAACGAAAAGAAAACCAAGAAAGAGCCTAAGCTGAAAGCGGTAAGAACTCAGGAGACAAGCATTGCGCTTTGTCTTTGGGACGGGTAGCGTCTCTCCCAGTCCTCTGGCTTCCTTTGTCTGGTCCACCTGACAGGGAGCAGCTTTCAGAGAGCGGCTGAGGGGGAACTGGTGTCTAACATTCCTAAAAGAAAAGGTAATTGAAAGTGATGAAAATTCAAGGACAGTTTCCTGAAGGCACATTTCTAACTTTAGAACAGGGAGAGAGGAAGACAGAGATCCTATCGGAACTGATCTGGGCAGAGAGAGGACCACCTGGGCTAACTATGCGAGAAGGGTTTCCCGAAAATCCAATCACAGCACGCAAAACGGGAGGAAGCCTTCGGGCCATTTCAACCTCAAGGGCAGTCACGTGCATCCAACGGTGGCCTTGCAGGACATTCCAAAGACATGCTCTAAAAACTCAACTAAAGATTTCCAAAGTGCAACCAAGGTCTTCACAATTCCAAAGCCTTCGTTTACAATAGCCATCTCTCAATCTCCTACAACAGTGTTTCCCAAAGTGTGGTACGCGTTTGGTGAGGGTACGCGTTGCACCGGAGTTTGGTGGGGATATGCACTGCACCGTGCTTAGCTGCGCCTAATTCTACGTTCTCATGAGTACAAGCTGTACTCAGTGTTACGAAAATTATAGAAGGGGTACACGTATGTCAAAAGTTTGGGAAACACTGTCCTACATCAGTTTCTTAAAAATCTAATTAATGTGTTACTCTGGATGATGCAAGCTTAAGCTGCCACCCAGAGATTCCCGCTCTGGCCAAAGGCACATACAAATGACTCAGAGGTTCCATTTTTGTCACCGGTAGCTCCTCTTCACTAGCATGAATCCAACTACATGTAAAATGCTGGCAGACACCCTATAGTCAACTCTCAATTTCCCACGAGCCTGGGAATAACTTGAGGCTCCCTGGGGCTTAGCTGACGCAGAGTCCCCACTCACCACACCGTCACACTGCGCCACTGCGCTGCCAGATGCAGGAAGGGACCACAGACCCACCTGGCATTAACCTAGGAAAGATGAACTGACTGGGGAAGACAGCTATAAAAAGCATTTCAGAGCAAATGTAAGGAAACCTAAAAGGCCAGATGGGTCAGAAGCCTTCCCCTGAACAAGTAACTGCTACCTGTTTTTAAAAGTTCTGCTTTTCATATGACCCCGGCTTTTCGCCCTGTTCTCTTCTGGGTTCAGGCCAGGCCTGCACTAGCCCCACAGCACGTTCCCACTCTCCTCGTTCTTGGCTTTATGACTGGAACACCCTGCACATCAAGTGGCTTTAAAGACTTGAAATGTTTACCAACAGCCCCCGGGCGACGACAACGCTCTCGGTGGGAGCCCGAGAACTGAGCGCTGGCGGCATTTCACAGATCAGTGTAAGCCTGGTAAAGGGAGGGGGCAACATGTTTTAAAATTCTACATACACTTGTTTGGGCCTGGCTCTCTATGTCATCCACAGTGGAGGAATGCTGATTGCAAACTTTTATGTTGGTTTGTTCATGCATGTTTTTCTCGTATTCTCGAACATCGTCCATTGTCATATCTGAAAGAAGGTCAAGACGTGGGCAACTTCCGTTATTAAATGCAAACTTTCAATGGGGAGACTTTAGGGAAAGATGGTAGCTTAGCAGAAGCCAAAGAGAGGTTTAAGAAGCAGGGGACTCGCTAACTTTATGGAAGGCAAATCATAAAGTTAGCCAAACCAGCCAGAGGGGCAGTGAGTACAAGGAAGGGAACTCAAAATAGTCTTAGGAAGGGAAGGGTGGCCATTTTTTTAGGGGTGACTCCTGTACAGTGAGCTAAGTGGTTGGAGTAGGAGCGCGTGGGCAGTGCCAGAGCCTGAGATCTCCTAAAGCAGAGTTAGAAGATCCCTCAGGGAGGTGCTCAGCTGTGTTTGCCTTAAAACTTACCTTCCGTATACCTCTCCCAATAGGTTCTGTATGTCAGTGCGTTCGACAAGAGAAAGGGCACTTTCATTGCTATTGTAGGAGACATGACGTGGAAGGCATGGGACGAGGTCCATGGGTGTGAGACTGGGTGTGGTGCTCACACACAGTGAGCTTCTGCACAGAATGCGTGGTGTCAGAGGGCAGGTCTACACCCATCTCCAAGTCTAGCCTGACAGCTTGAAGGTGGCTGGCACTACTTACACCCACACTGGTTACGGTATTCAGGATAATGATCTGGTAATCTAGTGGTTCTTGGCGGGGACAGTTTTGTGGCATTCTTGATTGTCACAACTGGGATGCTACCCTTCCTCCAACAAAGAATTTAACTACCTGGTCCAACTGTCAATGGTGCTGAGGTTGAGAAACCCTGTCCTAACCCAACTGACAAGAAACTTAAACACCGAACCTGTCCAGTGTCAGTGTGTGAAGTCCAAAAACATACCAATCGGTCCTACTTTAAATACTTCTGTTGTTGTACCCCCCCACCCTCACCTTGCACGTTTGGCTGTTTTACTGCAATTTATCAACAGCTGTCCCAGACGGGCATTCTCCTGTTGCTCTCACGGCAGAGTTTAGCTTCACGCCACTTTATAATAAAGGTACGCTGAGCGATTGTTAATCGACCACCCACCCTCATCACTAATTAACTTCGAGGCCTACAGCTGGCATTCACAGCTGGGATGGTTCCTCAGGCATTTTCTGCAGCATGGGGCTTGTCATCTTTTTATATCAATCCAGGTGTGTCATGTGAGATACTCTTCATTTCCAAAAGGCAGGAGTTTTTTATTTAATTCAGTATTGTCTGGGGCCAGCGTAGAGCGTGGCTCTAAACCCCAGACCTGGGCCATGTTATTTAGTGGGATGGTCCCCCCACACCCAGCACACGTCAGTCAAGAACGCTGTCCATAGCAATGTAAGTCTCAAGCTAAGCAGAGTCTGGCCAAGCGGAGAGCATGCTTTTGTTTTAGAAAATCGAGGTAACTGGAAGCAATAAAAGGATGCTGCTTTGTGATTAGAACAAATGCACCTTAGTTAACAATACTAACACATCCTGTCAATACAATCACTTTCATTTCAATGGCTGGTTAACAAAATTTCTTAAACACCAATATGCCTAGAACGAATACTGAGGCCATTCTAAGCTCAAAGTTTAAAACGTAAAGATATTTCTTCCCTCCCCATTCACTAAGGCTTTTAGTTTCTCTGTTCTAGTGAATTCCAACACAAAGCATTATTCATCTTTAATTAGCTCAATGTTAAGAGTGGGGCTTAAACCGTGTGACTACGTGCTTTCAAAGGTATATCAATTTAATGGATGTGATGAAGAATTTAATAACAAAGATACTCTCATTACTGCCTTTGTTCATAATAGTGAAAAATTGAAAACAACCCAGGGGGCCAATAATGCTATGCAAACACAAATAATGTAGAAGGATATTTAACAGCACAGAAAAATGTCCTGGGTATATTGTTAAATAATAAAAAATAGAAGGTAAAAACTTATACATATTATGTGAAATCTTTTTTTTGTGTGTGCCAGAAAAGCATTATATACATTTTAAAAAGACAAAGTATGCATTTCAAAATGTAAACTGTGATTGTTTCAAGGTGTTAGGATGATAGCTAATGATCATTTTCTTCTTTTTGCTTATTTATATACTCCACATTTTCTACATCAAATATGAGGTATTTGTGTAAGAAAGAAAAAACCCACATTAAACAAATCTATTATTTGTGGCCGTTAGAAGAGGGATACCACTAATCTGGAATTGGTATCCTCCTCCTCGCTTTTTTTTTTTTAAAAATATATTTTTATTGATTTTGTATAGAGAGGAAGGGAGAGGGATAGAGAGCTAGAAACATCGATGAGAGAGAGTCATCGATCAGCTGCCTCTTGCACACCCCCTACCGGGGATATGCCCGCAACCAAGGTACATGCCCCTTGACCGGAATCGAACCCGGGACCTCTCAGTCCCCAAACCGACGCTCTATCCATTGAGCCAAACCGGTTTCAGCTCCTCCCCGCTTTTTAAGATTAAGAGTTAAGAAACAAAATTTCAGCCAAAGCTAGTTTGGCTCAGTGGTAGAGCATCGATCTGCAGATTGAAAGGTCCCAGGTTCGATTCTGGTTAAGGGCATGTACCTGAGTTGCGGGCACATCCCCAGTAGGGGGTGTGCAAGAGGCAGCTGGTCGATGTTTCTCTCTCATCGACGTTTCTGGCTCTCTATATCTCTCCCTCCTCTCTGTAAAAAAATCAATAAAATATATTTAAAAAGAAAAAGAAAAAAAAAAAAGAAATGTTAAAAAAAAAAAGAAACAAAATTTCAGAAAGTTTTGTCTAAAAGAAAAACAACACATCTCCCAATCAGACCACATAAGGGTGAACATTTCTAGTCCCAGATGGTGTGGCTCAGTTAGCTGAGCCTTGTACTGTGCACAGGTTCCTGGTTCGATTCTCGATCAGGTCACATGCCCAGGTTGTGGGTTCCATCCCAAGGCAGGGATGTGCAAGGGGCAGCCAATCGATGTTTCACTGTCACATGGCTGTTTCTCTCTCTCTCTCTCTCAAACCCAATTAAAAATAAAAAACAAAACAAAACACAGTGTGAACATTTCTAACGAAGTGATTCTCTAAAAGATGATGATAATTTGGTCCCTGCTGCTACGGAAATCGAAATATGTTTGGCTGAACCCTGAACTACTCCCACGTACCATACATGCTTATGGAAACGGAGTAAACATTTTCCGTATTCTTAGTAATTTATGGAAAGCTTACTCAAGTGAAAAATGTTAAGTTCCTGTTCAGGTTATCTGGTAAAATGTATTACGTCTTGCTTCTGCAAAGTATATTACCTTGCAATCTATACGTGAATCAATTTCCTAGAAAATTCAATTACAGGTGGCCAAGGGCAGATTATCCTTTCAGAGCCACTTCATCTTCATTACTGATCGATTGTTAATGATCAGTGATGTCTAACCATTTAGGTTCGGATCTCTTTGTTTCCAGCAAGCAAGCAAACGCTTATGTGTGTCAGGGCAACTCTTAATTAAAAGAAGCCTATGTCCATTATTTTGCAAGTAAACTGAAAAACAATCACCCCTTAATTTATAAGTTTAAAAGGTCATAATTTACTTCTTTTAAATAAGGTTTCTTAAATAATAGTCCGAGCCGAAACTGATTTGGCTCAGTGGATAGAGTGTCAGCCTGCGAACTGAAGGGTCCCAGGTTCGATCCAGTCAAGGGCATGTACCTTGCTTGTGGGCACATCCCCAGTGGGGGTGTGCAGGAGGCAGCTGATCAATGTTTCTCTTTCATCGATGTTTCTGGCTCTCTCTCTCCCTTCCTCTCTGTTAAAAATCAATAAAATATATATATATTTAAAAATAGCCAAATTAAAAAAAAATATTGGACTGAAACCGGTTTGGCCCAGTGAATAGCATGTCAGCCTGCAAACTGAAGGGCCCCAGGTTGGATTCCGGTCAGGGCCATGTACCTTGGTTGCAGGCACACCCCCAGTGGGGGTTGTGCAAGAGGCAGCTGATGGATGTTTCTAACTTTCTCTCTATAAAAAATCAATAAAATATATTAAAAATAAATAAATAAATAAATAAATAAATAAATAAAAGAATATTGGAAGTAGCACAGTATTTCTTCTAAGAAAGGCACGTCTGCTATCTTTGACCCTCGGCTATCAGAGGTTGATGGACAGAAGTGGCACTTGGGCAATGGTTCTGGGGTATAAATGCCCCTCATTGCATTTCAGTGGAGCAAGATTTCCTTTCTCTGTCCTCTTGCGAGGCCATTTCTTTCCTTCTCTTTCTCACCCCCCTTCAGGGGAGGGCAGAGCAGGTGCCCGTCTCCTAGCCCACCCTTGGAGCCTCTGCCATCAGCCCAGCTTCCAGAGAGAAGTGCGGGGCCCAGGGGATTTGTTAATTGGCGAATCTTCTTTGATTTCCTAAACCATGAACTGAAGGCTCTCTTTAAAGAGCAAAATCTACTTTAACTTTATAAATCTAGGTCCATTTCACCCATTTTCTACTTAAAACAAAAAATGGGTTCTAATTATTATTTAATGAATCACTCAAGTAATGCATGCATTATGTTTCATAGAAATAATTCCGGTAGCATTGGATTATGTAGAGAAAAGAGTTTAACTCCTTTTAACCTCCCCCACAAAGACTATTCCTTCTGGAAACACCCACTGTTAAGAGTTTGAGGCACAGATTGCCAGATTTAAAAAAAAATAAAATTAAATTTACATGTATGTTACTACACACACCCGCACACTCTCATTTATTTTTATACTTATGGAATGATACCATCTTAAACTATACTATACTATACTATTCATATTGCTCTGGCTTGCTTTTTCCAATAATGGGAAATGTACATATTTCCATACTAGTACATAAGAACTATCTTATTTTTTTTTAAACTGTTACACATAATATTCATAGTATGGGTGTATCATAATTTACTTGACCATATTCCTGTTAATGGACATTCACACTGAGTCTAATTTCTAGCTTTTATAAACAACATGACACCGAATAGCTTTCTACCTATATTGATGAGCACATGTGTAGTATTCC